TAGAGATTTCAGGTTTTTTTTTTTTTTCCTTCTTTTTAAAAACTTTCCTCCTATATAGCTATCTCCATTTTATCTATACCACTTTTTCTCCAGGTTTTCCTGATTACTTGTTTCTGATCTTCCTCAAGCTCTGTATAACGTTGATAAACTCTCAACCCTAAAATCTGAACTCTAATCATCCCTCTGGTAACCTTTGCTGCTCTTCACATAGCCCAGATGGCAGTCCCTCTCACTGCCCACTCCACAAGCCCCACCTCACATCCTTTTTCTTTGCACCATCTCTACCTGCCCTACAGAACCATCAAGTAGAATAATATTTTTATAATACTGACCAGAATTTCCCTCCATATTATAACTTCCTCCTTGGTCTATCCATAACTTTGTGAAGCTCACATTATTCTGTGTTTATGGACTTAGAAACAGAGGAAACAGAGGTAGCCCCTCCTAGGAAAATAGAAAAAACCACAAAGCACAAATATTTGGTTACACAGATTTTCTCAAGAAACTTCAGAACAAGTTCTCAGGAGAGAAGAAAAGGTCCAAAATAAAGTAATGAGAACAGAAATATTGGTGGGTAGCAGAGAGATGGGCTCTGTGCACTATGACTTAGGTTAAAGCTTAGGGAGATGGTAACAATCCCAAATAGTTTTATGGGACCTGAGAGCAGAAAGGACCTGCAGCTGTTCCGAGGTAAGTCCCTGGAGAGGAAGCAATACCTTGATGAAAAAAATGACTGCATTTAGGTAGGATGGGGCCTTAGCAGCCTAATCACCCACTTAGAAAGACCTGGAATTAAAGGAGGAAACAGCCAATCATGGAAGGACCTTGCTGAGGGAGTTGAGAAAGACTCCTATGGGCTTTTCACAAAGGATCAAAGAGAATGACATTGTGGACCAAATGCCTTGCTTCCCTCAATGTTCTTTTCAATAAGCTCTCCCCTGAAACATAAAAATTAATGGAAAAGGAAAGAGAAGCCCAAATTATAAAGATTAACTTTCCATCTCCTTAATAAAAGGTGGTAGGCTCAAATTAAAAATTGTCTAATTTTAGAAAAATAAAGCAAGGAAAAGCACACCTAAATGTGTACTGTGTGATTCATGGTCACATATGCTTAATGTCTCCTACTAATAGAGGTTTCCAGAGAGAGGTGGGTGTATACAATGGAATGCATAGTATATGGCATTGGTTTCATTATCAATTCTAACTTCTGTTGTCTTGAAGTTATATTATATATTGGATCTTTGTTAAATGCACTGAAAGGGACTAAGAGAGCTGTTAGGAAAATGGAAATTGTTACAAATGGGAGTTGCTATTTATTTATTTAAACTTTACTGAGCACCTACTATATGTCAAGCATTGTGTTAGATGTTGGAGTTACAGAAATGAAAATGACATAGTCTTTGCCCCTGAAAATGAAGCTCACATTCAAATAGCTTTAGAACAGACATGATTTCTTCGTCTCACAGACTTGGTCTTAGGTTCATAGCTAGATACATCCCAATGTGTGGGAAATCTGGTCAGTTTGGAAAAAGCATGCTCATAGAGATTCTTCAATCAAACCCATAATGATTTCTGTGGCAATTCCCTCCTTCTATGAGTTGGTCAGCTTGCAAGAGAAAGCTTGGAAACACATACGCATGTATCCATGCACACCATCTCTATATTCTGTAATAGAGCATGTTGCCACTGCATAATATGCTTAGACAAAATCATTTAGTTTATAGGGATCTTTATTCACGTGAGATCTCCAGTAATAAACAGTATTGCCGATTTCGCATTTTGTTTGATGTCAGTATAACATACTCATTTAGAAAAAGCACTGGATATAATGTCACCTTAATTACAGTATGGGAAGGTTTAACGAAGGCAAATTCCCCTTTCAAGCTTTCAGCATTAATGCCCCTAGGCTTTTCTGTTTATTCCAATGAGTTACATTCTGGCACCCATGAAAATCACATAACAAATGCATAACTAATGCGACATTCACACAAAACATTACATTAGTTCCATACAATCAGATCTATTCCAGTGAACACCAAACCAAATCACGTTATTGTAATGTGAGTTGTGATTAATATCCTAAATTGTAAGTAGCTTTGTCTGAACCTGGCCTGTTGTTTACACCACTCAGGGTGGTTTCAAAGACATACTACACGGACACTTTATTTGGCTTGGCCACCTCTGTCCACTGCCCCTGCATAGGCACAACCCTAAGTAACATATCAAATAATATTAATATTTTACTACTAAATATGTTCTCAACCATCTTCCTACCAGCTGCCAAATTGCTGGCTGGCATCAGTTGATTTTTATTTCAATAACTTAAAAATCTCTATAATGTAACATGCTTTAGGGTTTGGAGAACTGAAAATTAGGAGGAAACCAGATTATAATCCCAGCCTGGAGAAATTTAACAACTGCATAGTATTACTATAAAGTGAGGTTAAAATCATTCCATGAGCAGAAGTCCAGTCTATTTTGGGATGAGACATTCTTTCTGCCTTAAGTCTTTTCCTCCCGCTTTGTATGGCTGGCTCAGTGGCATCCTGTAGGCCTCAGTTGAGCCGTTAGCTCCTAAGAAGGCCTCTGACTCCCCTATTTGGAGAAGCCCGCTTTATACCAGTTACTCTCTATCACATCACCCTGTGTGGCAATGTCAACTACCTGCCTGCTTTCCCTTTTCCTTAGCAATTGAATTGCTGCCTAATTTCTAGGTGAGCCTATGGCCACCCAGAATGACATCTTCCTATTCCAGCTTTCCCTGCAGCCACAATCTACATTTTTACTGTTGGGACAAAACACTAATTATCCTTACAGGGAAGAGATATGGCCCCCTTTTCACCTTTGTGCTCTATGCAGATGTAATGGCTGGAGCCCAAGCAACCATCCTGGTCCATGAGGTGGAAAGCATATGTTGAAAATGATGAACAAATCTGGACCTTTGATGAATTCATGAAGCTGCCTTGAAGAACCTATCTCTGACCTTCTTTAATGTGAGAAAGAGAGAAATAAACTATCTAGGCCACAATTAATATTCAACATACATAGTAACTGCTTCAGCATATAAACTTGATGCAATCAAACAAAATAGGGCATTGGTCAATCAGAATAGATGCCACTGTTAAAAAATTGTAGCTACCCAACATATATAGGATGAATCACAACACAGGCTTGGTTAAAGCCAAATGATTTTGAATCTTCTGTCACTTGCAGCTAAACCTAATCCTCTGAAGTATATTTCATTTTCTTTATAACCCTGGTTGTAGTCTGTGATTATCTTTTCATTGTTTTAATGGTTCATTATCTTTCCCTCCCCTTAAAATCTAATCTCTATGAGGGCAGAGACTCCTCTGGGGTTTGCTGCTGGAACATTGCTCTGTTGAATGTTAAAAGAATGAATGAACTATTTCTTTAATTTTTTATTGCGAGATATAATATTTTGGGAATTGCAGATCTGGAGGAGTGAAAAGAATTCTATTTGGAGAACTAGGGTTGGCAGTGGAATTGACAAAAGTTTTTTTTTTTTTTTTTTTCTCCCAGACTCAAAAAAAACTGATGAAATTAGTGGTAGATAAAAATTCATTTCTAGCTTCTAACAAGGAATCACAAACAATGGAGGACATATAAAGAGAGTAGCAGCTTTATTAATAATACTTTCCTACTCCATTCGTGATCTTTTGATGACAACCCTACCGGAGACACTCTTTATCAGGCACTAAAGCAATTTAGATGCTGTCACATGCCTTTCTTGATATATACGTATTAGACATAAAGCAGTTTTCTGTTCTTTAGCTTATTTTAGTATATAATTAAAACTCTGACTGTCTGCTACTAAGCAACGGAGCATGGCAGAGGTTGATCACATCCTATCACAAAGATAGAAAGAGGAAAAATAATAAAAATAATCATACACATTCCTGTAATCAGTCTTCAGATCTTAATTATGTTTTAACTCCTTTGTTATGCCAAAGGCAAATGCCTATTGGCATTTAAAGGACACTCTCACTTTTCTGCCTAAGTTCAATCTAGTTCTTTAATTTGGATCCTAGTCTATTTGTGAAATTCTTTGGGGGGCATTTAAGGTCAAAAGGGGTGATGGAAAACTGATATAGGACTCAGGAGGTTTAAGATCCATTCAGCCCTCAAACTGGCTCGTTGTGTCCAGGGTTGCAGCTGAATTCTCTCCTCTGGGGAACAGAGGTTGTGGTGGGGTGAGTGCAAGCCTGGTGGAGGGTGGGGGAAGAAGGAAGTAGTGTTTGCACCATTGGTGGGTGAGAAGTGCACACATACACAAAATAGCCCTCTACCACCTTTCTATGTGTCTCAAGGTGTGACCTCTGAAGCCTCAATTGTATATTTCACTCTAATTCCAAAGATGCTTTTCATCAGAGCCTTAATTTTTACATTAATGGTATTTCTTTAAAATTGTTGAAGTGCACCCGTTTTGGAGAATAAGCTCAGGGATAATAATTCATGCTTCTGTTCTGGCCCCCACCTTCCTTAACTTCCAAAAAGACATCTAAATATGAGTTGCATTTACTTACTCATCCATTCATTTCCTCAACCATTAATTTCTGATGCCTTATTTTATACCATTCTATGTTCTAGAGCTCATATTGTTACCATACTATGGGTGGATTCCATCACTTGGCTGGTGATAGCCTGATGACCACAAACAAGAAGGATTTATTAAAGAGATATTATTACTATTACTTGAAACTGGTAAGGAGGGCACCGGGGATAGTTCCCAAAGCAGTGTCTCTCCAAAGGCAAAAACAGGGCTTTTCTTGGGCTAGTTAGCTGAATCATTGTATATAGACTTGGGGTCACCTCAGTGTGTGTGCAGTCGCCATCGTGCTTCCACATATTTCACATGTACAGAAAATGGCCAATAAGCTCCTTCCTGGGCAGGGTTTTTAGTATGGCAATGAGGGGAGTTCACCAAAGTTCACATCCAACTCAAACATCTCTGGATCTAACCCATTTTTTGCTAATTCCAGGGCTGAGCTGCTTCCTGGAACATTCATGAAACAAGAACTCAAGTAAGTACTTTTTCCCAGTTTATACCCCAAAACCCAGAGCCCCTGGTTACATAATGGTGAAGGAATCCAGTAACTTTGCCCTTGTGGAGCTTCCATTCTGTAGTGAAAGACAGCCGGTAAGTAAGAGGGGCTTCTTACAAATAGGAGTGGGTTATTAGTGCATATTGAACTCTCACTGTGCTAGACTTAGCATCATCTCACGGAGCTATTTACTCCTCTCACCAACCAATGAAAGAGGTACAAAGGCTATACAGTGGTAGCACATTTTCTGGGCTTGTATCCTACCTCTGCCATACTCCATGTAATCCTAAGCAAGTTCCTTTACTTATATTTACTTGCCTCAATTTCTTTATCTGGAAAATAGGAATCCTACTTTATATAGGATTGTTGGGAGAATTGTACATTTGTAGCTCTCATAGCAGTGCTCATCATTTTGTTCAATTTTCCAGATAGATAAGCTGAGGCATAGACAGATTAAATAACTTGTACCAATCCATTCAGCTAATAAAAAGTGGGAACTGAAATTTCAACCCAAGTCGCTGACTGTACCGCATGTGCCCCTACCCACGATTGGCTTTGCTCTTCTAGCAAGATCTCTTCACCTCTTGGAGGATCAGTTTTTCCACCTGCAATCTGGACATAAATTGTCTCCCTCTCACCCAGTCTGTTGTGAGACTGAATCATGAAATGGTATTTAAAAGTGCTTTGAAAACCGTAAAGCATCACAGAAAATAAAAGTTTCTATTATTGTTATATTTATATTTTTATATTTACCACTTTAGTTTGAGTATGATGAGTTGTGTTTGCCTGTCATATAAGGCTTTCTGTTTAATCTGTCGTGGTTCATATAGGACCTGTTAGCCAGCCTGGGAGCCTCTGTAGTGCCTCCTTAGTCCTTCCTCAGATTTTTGTTAGTCAACCCACTTTTTGAAGATGATCCCTGTCAGTTCTCTTCTAAGGGGAAGAGGAAATACAGAAGATAGGAACTGAAACCATCCACAGTTTTGGATACTTGTTAAACGTTCTGTGAAAGTTTTAGTTGTTTGGGCAGATGGTGAAAGCACTTCAAAATCCTGGGAACAGAATTCAACATGAGTGAGCTCACGAAAAGGGGAGTTCATAGAAACGATAAAGGGGCATCTCAGCAAATCTGGAGAAGCGGAGTGTTTAAGCATGCCTTAAGGAAACGAAGTTATAGGCCCCAAACCCTTTCTCCTTGCTAGCAGAAGTGACCTCCAGTGGGTTCCAGATAACCTAAAAGTGGCCAATGCTGTCATGTCACTTGAGGAATTATTCCCTTCTGAGAAGTCATGTGCCTCCACAAAAAGAAATGATATGATTTTTTAAACTCAATTCAAAGGATTATGTTTAGACCCAGATTTATGCAGATCAACACAAGTCCTCATCAATATACAGCATGAGAGGAGGTATTTAATGCCTCTTTTTTTTTTTCAGAGTCATTCATTTTCTGACATGATGGTACTACACCACCCAAAGATTTCTAACCATGTGAGATTTTTGAGAACCCAGACCCGGAAAACTTTCTTTGGAGGAACATAAGGAATAATGGTGATCAGTCCCCAGTAAAGGTCATACAAGGAAAGAGAAATAATCTGGAATTAGGGAGGGCAGTCAAAACTGTCTGAAAATGATTAGCTACATTAGGAAAACTTTAAAAGTACCATTTATCTGCAGATGGTCTATGCATTTGAACAGAGATATTCTGAGCTACTCCACTCACAAAGAGGCTGATAACTACTTTAAAAAGCAGCTTGTAGGTTGCTACATTTAGGAAGGTCCTACATTTAGGACAATATAACTGATGCTTAAATATCTGTAATTGTAGCACTAGCTTAGCCAAAAGGCCATGTTTTTGCTGTAGGGTAATATTAGAGATGACAATATAACTGATGCTTAAATATCTGTAATTTGATGAGGAGGGCAGAAAAAAAAAATCAGAGTTGGATATACTGCATTGAAAATAAAATTCCACCCAAAATACCAAAGACAGAGAAATTGTACAGAGGTAGGTTGGCAAGAGGAAAGAATTCTTAAGAGTACAAGGTGGCCTGCTCCATTGTTCTTTCTCAGAGTTTTATAATCTTCCTTTGCATTAAAAATCTAAAGCTGACATGGCCGCTTAGTCTGTCCCCGACTCAACACCTGAACGCTGTATATTATTCTGCTTCTCTACACAAGTCAACTGGCATGTGTGTTTATTTATATGCAAAGATCCTCAATTGGCTGCCCCAGAAAGAGACAGCATGTGCAGAAAGATTGAGAGAGATCCCAAATGGGACAGAGAAAGAATGCAATTGGTTGTCATTTATCAATGAATCAGCTCTACGAGAATGAGATGTCTGTCCTTGTCCCGATCAGCTATGATGGGGATAGGGTCACCTTGCAAGACTTTTTGTTTTTTCAATCAATAAAGAAGTTGTGAGTTGGGCATTTTTCCATAATTTCTCTATTTTTGGTATTTTAGGTGGAATTTTATTTTTCATGCAGTGTATCCAACTCTGGTTTTCTCTGCTCTCAATTCCACATTACAGAGAGTTAAGCATCTGCTATATTATTATCCCTAACATGTATTGAGGACCTTCTTAAATGGGGCAATGTATAGATTATTTTTTAAAGTAGTTATTAGTCTCTTTGTGAGTGGAGTGGCTCAGAACCTTATACACCTAAAGATTGTCTCTTATCAATGGCCGGCTGTGAACAACCTCAGGCTGACACCTTGAAAAAAGGATTTGCATCTGAATCTGTGTTTTATGTTTCTAGTCTACCTACCAACCTTGTTGTCCCACTATACTAAAAATACTACAAGGAGAAACAAAATCTGTGCCCTCAAGGAGTTTTAATCTAGAGTGAATTAAATGTATAAGATTTTAACATTTTCTCCAAGCCCAGCTGTGAAATGAATAACTAAATTGGCTCCTTGAAACAAACAAAAAAAAATGCCTTTAAAATATCTTCTGTTAGCGTTTCATGCAAAAGTTTTAACTACTCTCTTCCTAACTAACTCTTTTCTGGCGAGGTTATGCTTTAGCTGCCACCACTCAGGAAAGCATTATAATTGTAGCACTAGCTTAGCCAAAAGGCCATGTTTTTGCTTTAGGGTAAACTTGTTAAAATTGGGAACTCAGCCAGGGTCATGCATCTAAGAACATTGTGAAAGCATCCTAGGGTTGTTCATCTAGCTACGGTCTAATTAATTTTCAAATGGACAAAATAGCTTCTTGGGCCATATAACAAGCATTTTCATTCATTTAAGTGAAGCTGGATTTGGCTCAAAGCAGGGTCATGAGAAATTCTAATGGCTCCTTCTCTTCTTTGTGTGTCCTCAGGAGAGCTTGCGTTGATGTCAACAATGCAAGATTTGTGCTCCGGGCAATTGGAGTAGAATCAGTTTCCTGAGAGCCAAGTTCTCGACTTCCCCTAGAAGGAAAGGGTATGGAACCGAGCATATGGGAGGCTCTCTAGGCCCTTTTACATTATTGGATTTAGCTACGCTCACATAATGAAATTGTTGAGATTGTTTAAACCTTCTGCAGGGACTTCTGTTAGCAGAAAAGAAACTTGTACTAAAGCCATAAGAAGATTGTATTATAGATATAATGGAATCTTTTTAATCTTTTGCCTGGTTTTCTGCAAAGGACTGACATTTTTTTCTGGGCATAAAGCCAAAGGTCTGTTTAATTTCTACTTAAAATTTCCCATGGTCACTAATACTCTCCCCCCAGATGGTCGTTTTATAAGTTAATAAATAAAGACAAAGCCACTAGAAAGGTTGTGAATCCTTGGAAGGTTTTTTTTTTTTTAAGGTAGCTATTTTGCACAGTAAATAGAATAACATCTATAAAAAGCGTGTTCCTGAATCTTCAGGACAATGCTTCACTGATATCACTCAAACTTCGGTAAAATATTGAACTTATCTTTGTCTTAAGACCACAGCTGTGATTAAATAAAGATTTAATATAAAAATGCAAGTTTACTTGCATCAGATGAATTCTTATGAACATATGAAATTATATCACTCCTATTTTTTACTGCACTTAGGATTTTTGAGGGGCAGCATTTTTTTTAATTAAAAATTACATTTATTTATTTTAATTATTCTAGGAGGTTTTTGCCAACTAGGTGACAGTTTTGTTTTCGTTTTTGGAGAGAGAGAGAATGAAGTGGGGAGAGAACCCAGATGTTAGAAACTGACCCAATCAGTCAGCTTCTCATAAAGGACCATCATGACAGTTTGGCTGTAAAAAAAAGGCACCCCGTTGAGTGCTACATGTTCCAGGAAATGGCTGGCCACGAAAAACCTTCTGTTCCTAGCATTCATTTCCAGAATGTCCCCAAACTGCTTGTTTGTTCCCTCCCAGCCAACCAAGGGCAGTCAAATGTACCTGAAGATCAATTAGTCATCCCGGCTTCCAGAAATCTCACCTTTATCGAATCCTCGGCAGTCAGAGGCTGTTTCAGCCTATCCTTTTTTAGTCTGTAAAAATCACTTTCCTTTCTAACACCCGGGAACCCTGCTGAAACGAAAGTGACAGCAGATGGGTTCCCTTGCTATCAGTTTATGAATAAACAGCCTTTGTTCATTTTGTCTCAAAGTTTTGTCTTTGACAGATGTAACCATGACTTAAAGCAATACCTGCCTGTAGAAGAAGTGAGTATTAACTTATTCAACAAATACCTACTGAGTACCTACTAAGTGCCAGGCACTACTCTCAGCACTGAGACATAAGATACATAATTTGTCGTTGGTGACTCACTTCCTGGTGAATTCAAGAACTCCGTAAATTGAAGTCATTTATTGTTAACAGTGCTTACTGAGATAAAAACCTGCTTTTTATAGTTTACAGAGAAGCAGCTTTTCTTTTATAAGTGAAACTGCAACCAAATAGTTCAACATGATATCACAGCCTACTTGTGATACGGGAGTACTGGGAAGGAAAGAGCATGGTCCCTTTAGGTGTTAAGGAAGTGGGGTAAGGGAAGTAAGGGGTAGAGAAAGGTGGGTTCTCTGGCTAGGGCTCTACCCCCATGGATCTAGGTGAGTCCAAGCATTCTTGCTTTCCCGCCCAAATGCTGCATTTTCCAAGCCCACCCTAGCCAGCCACGCCCCCATCCTGGGCCTATAAAAACCCAGAGACCCTACAGGACAGACACAGTGAAGCCACTAGACGGCATGAGGAACACATCCAGGGAAAAAAGGCACATGCGGCTGATCATGAGAGCCCGCTGGGAGAGAGCCCGCTCTCGGACAGGCACCGGCAGGCCATTGACGGTGGGACAAGGTGGAGTTTGTACTGGGGCAATGGGAGGAGAGCTGGGGCCCCCAGTAGCCCTACTCCATGGGAAAACCGTCTGCCTTCTGGCTTCCCCATCATTGGAGAGCTACTTCCACTCAATACAATTTTGCACTCATTCTCCAAGTCACATGTGACCGATTCTTCTGGTACACAGAAGCAAGCAATCATGGGATACAGAAAGCCCTCTGTCCTTGGGATAAGGTAGAGGGTCTAATTGAGCTAACAAAAGCTGCCTATAGATGGCAAACTGAGAGAGCATCCTGTAACACACGCCCGCCGGAGCTTCAAGAACTGCAAACATTCACCCTTAGACACTGCTGTGGGGTGGGGTCGGAGCCCCACAGCCTGCCCGTCTGTGTGATCCCCTGGAGGTTCAAGCAGTGAGGTACTGAAGACATGAGCCAAACTCCTACCACATGCCCTGGGAGGGGGCAGTGGAACCTTTCTCATTTCACTTGGGGTAGAGATAAAGTTATTATTGTTGTTGTGGTTGCCATCAACATCCCCATGATATTTGTGATAAGAGAGACATCAGATTTTCAAAGAGAAGTGTAAATTAGTTGACACTCTACAGAAGAGTTTTCTCTGGCTGGTGAAATATACTAGAACTATAATATAATGGTACAATGATATATGTTGACGATATTCCTCTTTCACCTACATTTTGTATCTATGTTCAAGATTAAATGAAAATGGATATTCTCAAAAAGCTAGCAAAACCAAAAGCAAGATGTTATGCCAAATATAAACATATTTCTGTTTAGCAAATAGCAGGAGTGTATAAAACATTCCATTTCTCTTTTCACATAACAGAATGTTCTATGCTTACTGTATTAGTTAACAAATTCAAGTCTGTTTATTTTGTTTGAAATTCCACTTCATCCATAAATTACAGCATTACACAATAACACCAGAAGGACAATATCACCACTGTTTGCTTTTACAATCATCTCAGCCCACAGAATGCTTCCCATTGTCAGCTTGCTGTCATCAAGCCATTGCTGTTTTCCTCTTTCTGGTGTCTTGTACTAATATCATTCAAATTATTTAGAGACTTAACAATGTTTTTGCTATCAGCACAAACCCCTAAAGAGCTGGAGCCCCAGCATGATGACCATATAACCCTTGACTTGTGACCTTCCCCTACAAGTCATTATTTCCCGAGGCCCTGGAGAAGCTGTGTTGCCGTGTGTGCACTACAGGAATGGGGAGCTTCTTCTGTGGGAGCCAGTTTGATTCATTGGACTTTGAACACTTTTCTGCTTGGCTCTCTGTATGGGCACATAGACAATGAGGTGGTTTAGGGAAGAGGGGTGATGTGATGGGTCATCGATAATGATTCCCAAACTTCTTAAAGAATTTTTGATCCCCCTAAAATTTTGTTTTCATTACAAATTATCTTTAACCTTTTTTAATTGCATAAAAACTTCAGGCACTTGAAAAAAATTAAAAGATGAAAAGTAAGGCTGTCTCTAGTATCTCTTCTCCTTTGTAGAAATACATACTTTTAGTCACTCTGCCACTGTTTATTATGTGCCTCCTCTGTGTAAGACATGGTGGTAGTCATTGGAAATACAAAAATGAATGGGATAGACACATTTCTTGTCCTCATGGAACTGAGGGCCTAATGGGAGATACAGATGTTAAGTTGTTTCTAGTGTTTTTTTTTTTTTTAATATGTTCTACATGTATACATGTAATATGTATTCTCTCCCATTTTAAAAAAACATAAATGGTGATTTACTATGCATATGCTTTTTGTTTTTGCATTATTCATTTAACAGTATGTAGAAGATGCATTTTCTATTGTATAGCATTCTTTAGCCCCTTCCAAATAGCACTTTGATTTTATTTTTGGGAATCATGACTTTCTAATTTTGCATACTCCTTGTGGGATTGTAAATCAGTTCCCCTGTCCTCAGGTAACCAAGGGTTAGGTATGCAAGCCAGCTTATTTCTCCTCAGAGTGAATCTCAACCGGATCCAGAGTGATTCAGGATCAGAACAATATTTCAAAGGCATTTCCAGAATCCAGATAAAATGTTGGAGCAATATTTGATTCTCAGTGATCTAGGGTAGCCACTTCCTGTTCTGCTCCCCAGGCTCCTGTCCATTCTGTGGATCAACTCATATTGCTCCAATTCATTTTGTTTTGCTTGCATAACCCAGAATTAATTTCTGTTGCTTGTAAATAAAGATATATAACCAAAGACATGCAGTATATCAGAGTATAGAGACGTACTTTACTCTTATTTAATGCCTGCATGAGTCTTCTTTATATGCATGTATCACAGTTTATTTAACCAATCCCTTGTAAGTGGACATTTAAGACTAGTGTTCTGTAAACAGTCTATATACAATATGTATTCTTGCATATCCACCTTTGGACAGATGGGTGAATGTGTTTTGGGGAAATACATTTGCAGAAATGGAACTGCTGAGTCAAAGAATTGGTAGATTTTTAATAATATCAAACAGTGTTGAAGGCCCCATATGAGAATAATAACTACTGGTTGAAGACATAGCTAATTTAAAACATTAGTGACAGTTTACTTATAATAACTTCTCATCATTACTGAGTGAAAAGGTAATTCTTGTTGAATTTATGAAAAGTAACTAATACTAAATTTAGAAAACTCAGAGAATATAGAAAAACACAAAGAAAAGTCAAACACCAAGTCACTTATGATTCTCTCACCAACAGTGGTAGACTTACATTTATACATCATCATTATTCTTTATCATTCTTTATCCAGTTTTATAGTTGTTTTTGGAGAAGATTATTAGCAACTATCAACTCTCTCATTGCTGGAAGTAGAGGCCAATAAAACATATTTCTTCAACTCCAGTTAATGTATCGATTTTCTCTTTAACTTTTTGATTTTGATTACTAATTTAGTTGCTGGAGGCCAGAGAACACACTCTATATGGTTCCAACCTCTTGAAATTTATTAGGAGTTACTTCACAGACTATTATCTATTTTGGTTACATTTTACATGTGTCTATGAAGAATGTGCCTTCTCTAGTTTGGGACAGTATTCTATGTACTTGCTTTGAATTGGGTTTGCTGTTGTATTCTTCAAATCTTTTACATTATACTGCTTTGTTCAGTTGGCCTGATAGTAGCAGAGAAATGGATGTTAAAATATCCTACTTTGATTGGGGATTTACCTACTTCTTGTTATAATTCTGTTAATTTTTTATTCATATATTTTGAGGTTATATTGTTAGGTGCATACAAATTTAGAATTTCTACGTTTTCCTGGTGAGTAAATATTTGTTATTTATTTGCCCCTCTTTAATCCAGTTGTAGTTTTGACTGAAAATATATTTTGTTTTATTTTACAGTTTCCATTTTGTTAGTTTATATGGCATATATTTTTCCTCTTTATAAAAACATTTTGCTGTCAACCATTATACTTATACCTTTTAAACAGTGTAAAGTGGTTTGTTTTATTTTTAAATCCAGTCAGGTAGTCTTTGTCATTTAAATGGAGCATTTAGTACATTTATAGTTAATGTAATTATTGATATATTACAGAGTGTCTCCTATCTATCCTATCTATCTAGCATATTTTTTTCTTTTTTATGTTTTTGGATAAATTATATAAAGAGTTTTTATTATTTTATGCTCTTCTCTAGGAGTTTGAAGGTTTTACTTATATTATTTTGGTATTTACATGGTTATTAAATCTATCTTTGACATATTAAAGTCTAATATTAGGACTTTTAACTTTATTATGGACTTTAGTGATAGCCACTTTAACACTATTTATTCCCTACTGATTAAGATAACATTGTATATTTTAATTTTACATATTACAAAGGCCAGTAAGACATTAGTATTATTGTTTTGTACATTCAGTATTCATTTTGACACATCACATATTAACCATTTTTTTTCTCTTTACTCTTTTTGTGTGTCTGTTCTTTCATCTGGGATAATCTTCCTTCTGCTTAAAGAATACTTTTTGACACAAGAACAGAAAATCAAACACCGCATGTTCTCACTCTTAGGCGGGTATTGAACAAGGAGAACACATGGACACAGGGAGGGGAGCATCACACACTGGGGTCTGTTGGAGGGAAATAGGGGAGGGACAGCGGGGGGTGGGGAGTTGGGGAGAGAGAGCATGGGGAGAAATGCCAGATATAGGTGAAGTGGAGGAAGGCAGCAAATCATGCTGCCATGTGTGTACCTATGCAACAATCTTGCATGTTCTTCACATGTACTCCAAAACCTAAAATGCAATTTAAAAAAAAAAAGCATACTTTTTAACACATTCTTTAGTAAGTATCTGGTGACAAATTTTTTTAGTCTATTAGAATGAAAATGTCTTTATTTTGGCTTCATTGGGAATTAATTTTTTTAATTTGCCAGTTTGACAGGTGATAATGGTATTTTACTGCTTTAATTTGCATATATTTTGTATATTTACTATCTTTTTTCTTTCTTTTCTTGGGTGCTTAAGTTTTTACAATGTTAAAAGCATCTTTTTTTTCTTTTGTCTTTTTGCAGGAGAGGAGGAGAGGCTAAATTGTTCATATAACTGGGGTTAAAGTACTTTTAAGTTTTTGGTAATTTATCTGTTTATTGTGCACATGTGTTCATGCACACACACAGACACAAGACACCTGTCTAAGAGATGTCTATGGCTAGTAAGTTAGCTCTTTATGTGGGCAAGCATGTTGTTAACACCACCAAGACTTACAAAACATTCTGTACAGTTATTTTGATTTCTTGGGGCAAATTTTATACCTGATAAAGCTGATTAGTTCAGGAGGATGTCTTGGTCTCTCAAAAAGATGTATTGGTACCATAAAAAGACATCAGAAAAATTACAAATTATATTCAATACATACTTTATTATTCTGTAGGTGCAAAAATGAAAGAAAACCTGGGTGACAGTCAACTTGTACAGCTGAAAGGGACCCTAGAGACAACATAGCTAAACACCCAGGATTTCTTACAGCTTAAAAGAGGTACAGCTAGTCCTATATCCTAAAATTTCCAATACATTAGAAACAAAGAAATGCCTAAACCAGCTTACAACAGTTATAATGTTTTTTTAAAGTCTGAACATTTCAAATTAAAATTTAATCAGCATGCAAAATACAATGCAACATATTTGCATTGGTCACAAGTTATAGTTTTAAAAAATAAATACTAACACTACGTTACAGGCAGTGAGTCCAGATAATGAGACACAAATTTAAAGTTTTGTGGAGAACACTATCTATTTTCCAACCTTAAATGTCTTCTTCTGATTACATATAAAATAATACATAGAGTTCATGTTTAAACATCTACACCTAAGGCTATAAATCCTAGGCCAAATGACCCTCTTAGCCACTTTTTTTCATTTTACTGATGACAAAATGAAAACCGAGAGGGTGAACTGCTTTACCCAGCATTTTTTCACTGAGTGGCAGAGCTCGGGCTGGAGCCAGAACTCTGAATTGTAGGCCAATGTCTTCTTATCTGTGTGAATTCTTTCTCTTTCCTGCAATGTTTCAGTAAGAGGAACTCTTTCTGTTGAAATTTCATTGAAGGAAAGAGAGAATCCTGGGCCAATAGAAACTCACTCCTTCAGTTAATTATTTTATTTTAAATAAAATAAAGCCTGAAAGCCTGTGTTCATTCTCTTATCCCTCCTACCCTTCTTTAAGTTATCTATTGTTGAATAACAGAGCACCACAGAACTTAGTGGCTCAAAAAGATAATAATTTATTATTATTCACAGTACTTACATTAGGAATGCTGGTAGAGCTTATCTGGGCAGTTCTTCTGTCCCATATGGTGTGGGCTCGGCTGGGAGCTACAAGAAGATGCTACTTACATGTCCCACATTGCATCTCTGAACTTCTCCATGTGTCCTTCTTTCTCCATGTGGTGTTTCATCATTTAGTATTCTGGCCTAAGCTTTTTTAGAGCGTGGCATCTGGCTTTCTACATTCAAAGTGGAGGCTCTTAAAGCCCTCTTGAAGACCTTGACCAGAACTGGCAGTGTCACCCCAACCATATTTCACTGGCCAAAGTAGGTCATAGGCAGGACCAGATTCAGAAAACGGGGCAGAGCATTTACCTCTCGATGGTTGCAAAGACATGCAGGTACAGGGTGGGAAGAAATGGAGGGAAGTCATCTTTGGATACTATTCACCACTCTCCCTTAGCACATACTTGGTATTTCTTTTCTGAAGACCAGAACACATTGCTTCTTTCAAACTTGTTTTTATTTTAAAGCATAAATTAGAACATGAGTTGCACATATGCTTACCCACTTGGTCCTTTCCTTATTGACTAAAGATAGAACAGACTTGTTCTAAACAGGCTTCAGTTAATGCAAAGTATGTAGGCCACCCCTATAGAAACTTGCTTCATAATCAAGAATTCATGTAATGTTTTCATTTTTCTTTTGCTTCAGCCCTCCTGGTATTAGCCAATAAAAGAATTATAGTTTTAATAACTAGTTGACACAGCTGATTTTATCGATTTTAATAAATAATCAAACATGCCTAAAAGCAAAAAACATCAAACAAATGATTTAAATCCCTAAAACCTTGCCTGTGCTAATCACGAAACTCAGCTAAATGACTAAGATAAAAACAGATTAGTGTCATTAGGCAAAAAAAAGAACATGTACCAATTACAGAATATAAGTCTTATCAGTTTGCTTAATAAAAACCTGAAATGCTAGATGAGCAGCTGTGCTCTCACACATTTGTGGAGTCTTTCAGCCTCTTGTTTTAAATAGTCATCCAAGGAAAACCAATAACCACAGCATAAGAAAGAGGAAAGAAACGTATATTAATGGCCTGCCCTTCCCTCATGATATTCTGTCCTTTTGTATTATTCCTGAGCCTTATAAAGTTTGACAACGATGGACACTAAGACTCGCAGATGAAGTAAGTGAGCTAATGAGAGGTGGAAGTAGGATTTGTACCCAGGTCTTAGTGGTTAACAAAGTCCATGTGATTTCCATCACTCCCCTGCTACTTTTCAAAAGGGAATAAAACCATAGCTTATCAGGAGCAATGCTCCTCGGGTCAACCCTAAGGCCTGTCCTGTTTATTGCCAAATTCTTGCCATAGCAAAGAGGGGATGACGGATGCTATCTTCACTGATGTCACTCTCATCTTAGGACTCCTGTTAAGCCACCCCAAATTCCTGTTAAAAAACCATTCTTAATTTTGGCATGTGTAATCCCTTCAGAATAATTGGCTCCAGAGAGGTATATATGCCATTGTATTAGTTCTCAGGCTGCTATAAAGAACTGCCCTAGAGGGGGTAATTTATAAAGGAAAGAGGTTTAATTGACTCACAATTCTGCATTGCTGGGAAGGCCTCAGGAAACTTACAATCATGGCAGAAGGCAAAGGAGAAGCAGGCACCTTCTTCACAGGGCTTCAGAATGCAGTGAGTGCAAACAGGAGAAACGCCAGACACATAAAACCATCAGATCTCATGAGACTCACTCACTACCATGAGAAGAGCATGGAGGAAACTGCTCCCATAGTTCAATTACCTTCAACCCTTGACATGTGAGGATTATAAGGTTTATAATTCAAGATGAGAGCCAAACCATATCAGCCATATACTGACCCAGGATTTTTTACACTTTGGGTCTTACTCAAGGGCTCTTCACTATTTTACACCCTTGTATTTTTAATTATTATAGATACATAATAGTTCTACATATTTCTCAGGTACATGCCATCATTTGCTTTTTGTAAAGTTTATTGGAACATCATGACTTTCATTTATTTATATACTGTCTATAGCTTCCTCTAAGGAATAAGCAAAAACAGAGTCTCCCACTTTCTTACTCAGAGTAGTGCAATTTTCCTTAGCTCTTCCTCAAAACTCCATTTCAGGGCTCCTTTGAATTCCAAAAATTTGGTCAAAGCTTTGAAAATACCTATCGTTAGAACAAATGACATTCTTAAATTTAGGGCCCTTCTTCTCAGCCGTAATATGTGGGTGAGGAGAGTTTGTTCTTTCTATTAGTCTTTCAGAATGTGTGCAATTTGTCTGTAAATTTAACAAAGCCAACTTTGACCGATGGTTGCTTTCATGTAGTCCAAGATCTAAGAGAGTGAAGAGACTCCACAATTGTATGTGAGACTGAAATGAAGAGTTTACTTTTTCTTTTTTCCTATGGAAGTGAAGTCAATTGGTTAAGAAGTGTCTGAAAACTGTGGGTATTTCAGTTCTATTTCTCTAATACTGCAGCAAAGAAAACAAAGATTGGCAAAATCCTATAATGCCATTCAAACATAGCCTGGGAGGGAATCCAAGAACACAGGCTTTAAAACAAATAAATCACTTGCTATTATGAAGTATGGAAAGCACAGTGATCTTAGACCTAAAGAAGGAAATAATCACTGTTCATACTGTGTTTTAAATTACAAGTATTAAAGAGAGAACTGTGGAAACTTACTCTGGAAGTTTCAGATGCAGTGAATTCTGACACATTAATGCATCTGACAACCAGAAATGGCAGTGCTGTGAGTTAAAGGTGATATTTCCTTTAGGCCAGAAGAGAAAGGGCTAATGGTGTGAATGGTCTCAACCTCTTTGTCTAGCTCCCACGTGGACTGGAAAGGAGAGCCTGCTGGTTCCAATACATGATCCTGAGCTGGAGGAGGGAGATGTGACTCAAAACTGAAATCATGAAGCTTGAAGTTGTTTTTAAGCAGCAGTGTCTGTTGGCCCCTGGGGAATGTAAAATCTTCTTTACCTGCTATGGGCATCAGAATAATGGCTCCTCAAAGATGTCCGCATCCTAAGCCTTGGAACCTCTGACTGTGTTACCTTTTCAAGGCAAAGGGGACTTTGTGGATATCATTAAGAATCTTGAGATGGTGTGTTTTTGTTTTTAATCCAGGTAGGCTCAGTGTCATCACAAGGGTCCTTATGAGGAAAAGAGAAAGCCATGAGGGTCAGAGTCAAAGGAAGACTTGAAGATACCACACTGCTGACTTTGAAGATGAAGGAAGGGACTAAAACCAAGAATGCAGGAGGCCTCTAGAAGCTAGAGAAGGCAAGGAAACAGCCTCCAGAAGGAACACAGCCCTGCTGACCCACTGTGATGTCTGTCCTCTAGATTTGTAAGGTAATACATTTTTGTTTTTTTAAGGTACCAAATTTTTGGTAATTTGTTACATCAGCCATAGGAAACTAATATACCTACTTGCCCCTTTTTATTCTATTACAAAGAAAGGTCTTTGACATGACCCAGTGAAATGAGAAGATATGAATTAGGCCAGACTGTAGAAGGTGCAACTTTCAGTGTGATGTAGAGAATGGTGAGGTTTGCTGTGGCGGTTTTTTGTTTCTTACCTTTGGATGTCAATGGAAGTTCTCACTGGACATAGATAGGATAGTATGAGGGACTTGGGGCCTTTTCTACCTTAGAAGGAGGAACTGTGCTGCCTTTTTATCTACCCTACAAGGCCAAGTAAGGAAGAAAACTATGGTCAAGAATCTATTATCAAGTTTGTAGACTCTGGGGCAAGATCATCTGGTTTTGAAACATACTTGCTGTGTGATTTTAAGCAAGTCAGTTAAGTTTGGTTTTCCCATTTTTGAGAAAAGGATAAAAGTAACTACCTGTTGTGTTATTTAGGTAAAACAATTGAACAGTTTCTGGAATATACTAAATGTGATGCTGCTGCTGATGATGATGATAATGATGATTATAAATTCCTAATTTGTCTTGGTTTTAACCCTGGCTTTGTTATTTTTAGGTTTGTAGTCTTATATAAGTTTTTAAATCCTGAATGAGTTTCTTTTTTAAAAAAATTATAAAATAGAGGCAATAATGGTAGCCTCCTCAAAGGTTCTTACGAGGACTAAAATCATCTAAAGCATTTGGCACATAGTAAGTGCTCAGTAACAGTCAGTCATGTTGCTTTATGAACTGTGGCAATGGAGCTCCAGGCAAAGGAGGCAAGTATGTGAGCTTCCCTAGGATGTAATTCTTCTTCATCTTCTTTTATTTAGCTTCTCCTTCTCTTTCCTTCCGGATTGTAAGAATGAAAGTCTCAGAAAGGCACTGTTACATTCTTATTCCACAACAATGCAACTCAAAACTGGGGTCCTCAGCAGTGAGTGGGCGGCGAGAGAAGACAGTGCATAAACATGGCACATCCTCCTGGAAAGTCAACTTTACTCAAAGGTAAATAATTTAACGTATTTTTCTTTTTAAAACACATATGGATGTATTATGAAGGAGAATGCAAATTTTGCATGAATTTTTAAGAATAGGAGTGGATTATTCCACCACTTTCTTATTGCAGCTTTAGAAATACAGCTCAGACTAGCTGAAGCAGAAAAGACACTACTGCGCCTGTAAGTTGAAACTTTGGAGGGATATATTTCAGGGGTTTGGTAGATTCAAGGACTCTCTGGAAAACTGTCTATGAAAAAAATGCTTCCTCACATCCAGAAACCAGAAGCTCAGGAAATTCTTGCTTGGTTTCTCTTGTTGGAGGCAGAGATTATTCAAACACCTCAGGGTAGAATTTGAACATTGTCACCAGGAATCTTTCCTTTGTCATCTTCCAAGTCTGTTGTCCTCAGTATTGGCTTCATTTACAGGGAGGCTATCTCTGCCCTCATGGCAATGATGGTCTTTGCTCCAGGCTTAAGACCTTTAGGTATCTACTATTTCCAAAGCAGAGGGAGAACTTCCCAGTCCTAGTGACCTGTGACACAGGATTTTATCCTGAGGACAAGGGGAATTCAACTGACTAACATAAACTGCCTTCCAATGGAGTATGAATGTCTGGGCTCTTTCCTTCACCTACCTCCAAGATATGGAGGTGTCTAAAATATAAATAACACTTGCTGACTAACCAAGGGAGAAAGAGGGAATTTCAGGCAAAATCAACCCTGTTTACTGTGAGACTTCAGAGAAGTTGTCTGCTTCTGTGGGCATAGTCCCTGATTCCTCAAGACATAAATTTATTCTTTTCTTTAATGTATTTTCCTGCAGTCAAGACAAAACCATTACCTTTAGCCAAATTCACACATTTCAGCCAAATATATGCATCGGATCTGTTCTGTGGGAAACGGGTGAGCATGAACACCTGAAAGAGGCACCTGCCTGTGCCTATCTACTCCATGGAGTTTGAAAAGGGGCTGCTTATGGAGAATGTCTTTAGGGGCAGAACCAATCACCCTGTCTTTCCTTCAACTCTCAAAGTAACTTCTGGCTTCAATCTTCAAGTGTCTACACTGGATTTTCAGAAAAATGTTTTTCATGGAATTCAAGTGTATGACATTACAGGAGTTGTCTCTCTTTGTGTATATATATATATATATCTCAAGACTTGCGGTGTTAAGATTCAGAGCTCTCTGTCCTGAACAAATTTCATACCAGTATTACTAAGGATGATCATGGGATTTTAAAATTACTCCTTTAAATAGATCTCATGAACTTAGGTTACCAAATCAACATAAGTTAAGACAAAAAGAGCAAATTTAGATGTAAAACCATCTTGGCACTTCCCTCAGCATTTTGAGGAAATGCTCTGTGATTAAAAAAAAAAAGTACTGGATGGCTAGAAGTGCTGTTCTTAAGAATTGATATTCCATATTAACACGTTCAAGGATCTGAGAAGTTTTGCAGTAAGGGACCCTGTTTGGCTTTGTTTGACATAACCTTTCTCACACTTATTGGCAGCTTGGGTAACAACTATTAAAATTTGCTGGAATGTGAGTCCTCTGAATACTCTCTGTGAAAAAATGCCTCTTCAAGTCCAGAACCCAGAAGCTCAAGAAATTCTTGCTTGGCTCATTTTCCTAGGCAGAAATGATCCAAAGACCTTAAAGGTAGAGTTAAAAATGCAGTTGTGCATCACAGCCAGACACATGCTGGTGTTCCGACAGCATATGAGGGACTGGGCTGAACATCAATTGCAAATATGTGATTAGTCAAATCCCCAGGTGAATCTTGCAGAAAAGAATACTAAATGTGGATCTAAAAGTTATGTTTATTCCCTTTGTATCCTTCCCTTTCGCCCTTTCTGTCTCCTCAACTCTTTATTTTTCCGCAATCAAGAGCTGAGAGATTAAAATGGAAAGCAGAAATTCGACAGGAACATGAATCTTCAGGCACCCTAGGCAAAAGACTGCAATTTTTGACCTCTCCTAGGAAATGGCCAAAGGAGCTGAAATTGCCCAAATGCCCTGGATTTGCACTGATTTTCTCCTATTAGTCTGCCCATCAATATGGAGACTGTGGCATCTGTGGTAGTGGTGGATGAGTCAACAGAGTCGGGCTTGTCAAAGAGGCGGTGGTGTTTATTGCAGAGTCTTCCCCTCCCTGTGCAGTGTGGGTTGCAGAGCCTGGAAACTGCTCACACTCCACAGCTTTCATCTGCACATTTCTCTTCACTTTCTAATCATCTGATTGAGCTTACTTGGATCTCATTCCTTTCCCATTAGCTAATGAGAATAGCAATAATAATAATTAATAATAATAATGATAATAGTAGCAGCTACTGTTGATTGAGCACCTTTTACAATTCAGTGATGATGCAAAGTAAGCCCTTAATGGACATCATTCCATGTCGTTTTCCCAACCACCATAGAAAACATGCATCCTTATATAAACATACCTTGTTATTTACCAATGAAGGAAAGATTTAGAATGTTTAAGCAAGTTTTTTAGTGCTGAAGAGTGAGAAAATGGCAGAACCAAGTTCTGAAAGTGTTGGTAATGGTGACTGAAATGAATATTTGTATTCTAGCAGAGACCCTCTGGAGATTATGATACCATAGTTTCAAGAAGGGAGTTAAATGTTGGAATTTTATTTCCATGGAAAATGCCTTTAGAATTCTTCCTCTTTTCACCACATTAGCTGTTCATGGAAAACATTCCCTTTGTGTGTGTACATTCAGGGTGGGGTGGTGGGAAGAGAAGGGAGGACGTGAGACGTGAGAAAACCTTTTTCAGTAACAGGCTACCAAAACACATTTCCTGTTATAATTAGTGTAATGAGTTCTCATTTTCAGTTAAAATATATTTTTTTCATATTAGATTTTCTCTTATTTCAGTTTGATATGTTTACTTTTCAAGAAAGAAGCCAGCATATGGCCTTTCTTTCAGCCTTGGTAACCTTTTCCTGTTTTTGTAACTGTTTACCTATTTTTAGACATTTTAGTCAATGAAAATGATGAAGCTCACCCACTTATAAAATAAAACATCTGTGGCAAGATGAGGAAGTGGCAAAATGCTAAAAGAGCAGTCATGAAAAACATAGCTTGTTTAAATAATGCCAAATGTATTTCTCCTAGGCCTGATTATTTATTTATTTTTTTCACTTTTCAAAACCTCTCCTTGGTCTTCTGTAATTAATTGTCTTTAAGGATCCAAATCATTTTCAGTGCAGCAGCTCAAAGAATTTCTCAGATTGTGGTGACATTAGCAGGGAAAAACAGCCACCTCATTATATATTTTATTATTTGGGGATTGTTTTCAAGCCACTGGAGTAATTGGACTGTAGCCTGCTCCAATTAATAAGGCTTTTAAATGCATTTGTACAAGCCCGTTTTTTGGAAGCAAAAATCTTGACTTAAAAAAACTTGCTTGCAGCTGAGACTTATTGCTATGCATAGATAAAACCTGGGGGCCATTTCTTTTTTAATAATTATTTTCAAAGAAACCTATGAAATCATCAACATTTTTAAGAAGTAGTTCCTATCAAGGGGAAGAAAGACTTTGAGATCTAAACCTGTTTAGGCACCAGGACGGAGGCGGTAGGTGACAGAGTTTCACATCACCTGCTGAGTAGTAGTTGTGCTTGCTGGAAGGCAACATCTTAACAAGAAGGACCTTTTGTTTTTTACCCATTTAAAGATTTTGTTCCTCCAATAATGTGTTGTCCTTGAGTTGGGGCTGGAATATACAGGGATTTCTACAAACTGATTCTTCACAGTAATTCAGGGAATTCAAATGACAACATGATATTCCCCCAACTGGGCCCCCAAATGTACATAATTTGATTTCATTAAGAAATTGTATTGTGAGACTGCCAGTAGAGAAGAGAGACAACCGATTGCTTATGAGTCCTCATGGTTTTTAGGTTCTTTTGCTCTTTCAGTTGGGAACATTTACGGAACTAATTTTATTTTGTATTGCAAAATCTATGTAGCACTCTGACTTGTATGATAAATTCCAAAGGCAATTCTAATTGACTAGATGAAATAAATTCCCTTTGGACTTAGTATCTTACTGTCTTGAGTTGTTTCTCGAGAATACCATTAAATAATTCACTGATTCTGACCAAGTTTGGTGCACAGCTAAAGGGCCTAAGCCCTTCTGAAAGACTCCAGCTCCATTTGGTTTGACTTTTACATTTTGAAACAAAATACTAGCTGCCAACGTTTTCAAGTGGAATAACTCTGCCATGTAAAAATTGTTTTCGTTATCTTTTCACTCTGGGGATGAAGGAAGGTTTGAATGGATATATTTTTTGTGAAGAAAAAGTTGGGTTGGTATTTCATGTAATTGCTTTGAATTAAGATAATGGTTAGACAAATTGGGTCCAAGTTTCCTCTTAATAAAGCATTGCACTAGACACTAAAACATCTTGCTAGGATCAGAATTGCAAAATCTCAACTCATCTCTTAATCTCTGCTTTGAAGTTAGCTCCTTAAAATTCATTTTAGTAAAAAGTGCAAATAATTTTCAGTCTCTAAGACTAGGAATCTTATGTTTCTTTATTTCTTTATATTCTTTCTTTCATTTATGTTTCCTTTATTTCCTGTAGCCATGAATTTCTTATTGTGTAGCTATTACTCATGCCACTGTTCAAAATTAACATTTGGGAGGTAGTGTTCATAGTAAGTAAAAATGTGAATCCCAACTCTGCTGTAACATATCCTCCTACTTCTCTTTGACTCAGAACTATCGGTGGCCCCCATTTGTCCACTATTGGAAATTTAGCTGCATCTGCTTTTGTTTGAAGCAAGGTATGATCTCTATTTCCAGCTCTTTCCATGTCCATTTCTTTTGTGCATGTGTATGTATTCCAATAAAACTTTATTTACAAAAATAGGCCTGGGCCAAATTTGGACTGCAAGCCATAGTTTGCCAACCTGTTATTGAGTCTTACAACCCACACTGTGTCCATTTCTGTCTCTGTCCTTCTGTTCATATGGAGCCCTCCTCCCAGAATGTCCACAGTTTTTCTTTCTGCCTGTCTCCGGCTGACCTTCTTATTGAGGCTTGATTCAGCTCTTCTTTCCTATCTTCTTCCTAACCATTGTACTCACTCTGGTCCATCCCTAATTTCATATCTGCCTCAATCACTAACAGGTCTATGCAGTTCTGCCTGGGATTGCAGTCTCATTATTCCGTCTCATTTCCTCAGTTAGATTGGCAGTTCTTTGACCCAAAGAACAATGTCTTACATTTCTTTTATATTCCTACAGTGGCACAAGTCTAGACATATAGTGGAAATGGAACCATTGCATGTTTTTCACTGATATACAATGATAAAAACATAATGCTTTCCTATAATTTTTCATGATTTATCTTCTTTTACAAATCCACTTCTTCTAGTTGTCACAAATTAAACATTATGCAGACATAAAATTTCTGATTGGAATAGAAACTAGTAGATGATATTAGATCAGAAGCACCTCAATAATAATAATAAAATTAGCTGACATTTATCAACAGCTCATCATATGCCACCAAATGAAATGTAGCATTTGAGAAAATAAACTGTTTGCCCAAAGACACAGAGATAGTAAGCAGCAAAGCCTCTGATGCCAGGAGACCCTTCCCAGCTACCATGTTCTGCTGCCTCACAGCTGAATTTTGCTTCCCTGTAATTTCTGTGGTTCTTCACAAGGTCCTTGAAAGACACATACATAGAAGAAGCAAAAGAAAGCATTCGAATTTTCATTTGTTGATTGGGGCTTTGACTACAAACCTCAATGTAGAAGACTGTCATTTAGGCTGCTTCCAAAAAAGGCTTTTTGCTTTGTTTTCCAGAGATAAGAGGCTAAACTAAATAATCTGTTTCCTCCTACGTTGTGCAAATCTTGGATCATAACATTGGTGATAACATTGGTGGCAAAATGAAAGATGCAGAGGACAAGGAGTGAGAGAGGCAGAAAACTCAAGAATGTTTGATTCCTTGGGGCTGTTTAGTCATTGTGAGAAGAGGTGAAAGATGACCTAAGATTGTTGAGGTCATGAGTTTGCCCCATTCTTGGTGAAAGAGGAGAAGCAGCTGGAAGAGGCCTTGAGCTTCCTTGGACAACATCATGTACTAAGATCTACATAGGTACAAAAGTCATGTTATTTTATGATAAACTCTGTGAACTCCAGAATGTCTGCCGGTTGGTGGATGTGGTAAAGTCTGAGGCATATTATCGCTTAAAAGAATCCAGAGAAAAAGGTATTTTGCAATAGATACCATGTTAATGCTGAGCCTTCAGTTGTTTTATGTTTTTTTTTTTATTTTTTTATCTTTGAGGCAGAGTTTTATTCTTGTCCCCTAGGCTGGAGTGCAATGACGTGATGCCAGCTCACTGCAACCTCTGCCTCCTGGGTTCAAGTGATTCTCCTGCCTCAACCTCCTGAATAGCTGGGATTACAAGCACCTGCCACCACACCTGGCTAATTTTTGTATTTAGTAGAGAAAGGATTTCACCATGTTGGCCAGGCTGGTCTCAAACTCCTGACCTCAGGTGATCCACCTGCCTCAGCCTCCCAAAGAGCTGGGATTACAGACGTTTGCCATGTGCCTAGCTTGTTTTATGTTTAAGTAGCTAACAACCACCTAAACCATAAATCCTATTCCCAGAAAGAAATCAGAAGAGAAAATAGGAAACAAAAAGGAAAAGACCCTTGAACAATATGGAAGTTCAGAGTACCAACTCCCACACAGTTGACAATCTGAGTATAACTTTTGTCTCACTGAAAACTTGACTACTAATACGCTAATGCTGACCAGAAGCCTGACTGAGAATATACACCGTCTGTTAATACATATTTTGTATGTTATATGTATTATATACTGTATTCGTACGATAAAGTAAGCTACGGAAAAGAAAATGTTATTAAGAAAATCATAAGGAAAATGTGTTTATTCATTAAGTAGAAGTGAATCATCATACATCATTCTCATCATCTTCATATTGAGTAGGCTAAAAAGGAGGAGGAAGAGGAGGGATTGGTCTTGTTGTGGCAGAGAAGAAAACCAGCATATAACTGGACTCATACACTTCAAACCCATGTTGTTCAAGGATAATGGAAATGACCAACAGTGAAATTTTGGTAATTTTATAAAAGTAAAAAAAGAGAAAATAACTTTGGAAAATCATTTAATAACACAATGATATGTTCCTTAGATATTTTATTTTGTTAAATTTTATTTTATGAAGGGAAATAATGTCATTGGAAGATGATATTTCCTGCTGCTCTCCAGACATTGAGTATATTCTGGTTTAACTTCTGAAAACAGGATTTCTGATTTCAGGAACTAGTGTTCCTGATTTAGTGTTGTTGTTAGCCAATTGAATATAAGACAGTTTGAAGATCAGCAATTTATTTATCTAATCCATTTTTTTTCCCATTCCTTCCTCCTTTCTACTTTTTCCTCTCTTTCAGTCATTCTCACTTGCCTGTATCTCTGTCTGCCTCTATGTTTCTTTCCCGCTGAAATCAAGATTTCCTGCTGGTTAGTAAAGCTTTTCCAAATAGCAGAGGGTCTTGCTTTGCCAGAGTCTAAAAGATGACATACTGCAGAAATAATGAAGACAGATGAAGTCCCTGATCACCACAGACAAGTGGTCTAGACTAGGATTTTTTTCTCTGTCCACAACATCCTGTGGTAGGAAAATTGTTAAGATCACATAATATGATAATCTTATGGTAGCCCGAGAGATGCTAATGGAAGCTCCAAGTCTCATTAGAGATTCATTTGGTGATCATGGAGTAAAAGGAGGCAGGGTCCTCTGAGTTTACCATACTAAGATTCTGAACTGGTTGGCAACGTCAACATAGTTGGGGAAAATATGTTAATAGGACATAATTGTGTGATGGTGTAAGCATGACATTTTATCCTACCAGTCTTTTCTTTTTCTCTTAGCATAATAAATATTGATTAACCCCAGTTACAGAAGCATCCTGGGATGGTGGAATAAGGCAACAAATTGAATTAGGACATCGTTTTAGCACCGACTCCTGGAGGCACAGTGCTTAAAATGAGAAAGTAGGGATGATTCCCAAATGGAACTAGGAGTTTGTAAAATGGGTTCTTTAAAATCATTTTAGCAAAGGAGTCTGTGACCCTGCAGATCACACTTCTGTCCATGAATCAGGCGATTGAGGCATTTTCATTTGCTATAATTTTCTTTGAGGTTGAATGTTCATAATGATTTATTTCGGTGGTTAGCTAAAATATTTGCGTCCTATTTAGACAAAGTAATGGAGAGGGCAGCATTCTGGACTTTGAAGAATGGAAATGGGAGAATTGAGCTTTAGGAAAAATGTATCATCAGCCATGTAGAAAGCAAGAATTTGGTAGAGGCTAATTAATTGTGACTCAATTTTTGTTCTAATACCCTTGAAGACATCAGATGTTAATCTCCTTTCTCTCCTTTGGAGAATCTACTGAAAAATTTAAGTGAGCAAGAGGTGGACTAAATTAGAGTTTTCTTGAAAAGCCATGACTGAAATTTATCATCAAGCTTGTGCTAGATTATCTCTCAATGCACCAACCCAATTTTAGAAACGTTTCCTCTTTGTCATCAAAAATCAGTTTAATGTCATGAAGAATCATTTTCCTAAATCAAGAAAGTTGTAAAGATTGTTATGAGGGTTGGAGGAGTAGATTGAGAACAACAAATACTGGTTTATTTTGGAATAACACTACCAAGGTGGATCTATGCATTTATTCTCTTATACCAAATCTATTCTTAGATCCATTCATCCCCAGATGTTGCCATCTTAGGAGCCATACATCATCAGAGTAAGGTGCTCCTATAATGTATTGCACTAATACATTGTGCGAAGGACAGCACTGATGATAAATTTCTTAAATGATGGTGCTGTCTAAGGCTAATGACTTTAAGAGCAAATGCAAGGTAATGCAGTGATTTCTTTTCAGGCCCCAGCAGAGAATACAGAAGACATCTCAAAGCCATTTTCATTTGGGGGTAATATTGAAATAGACAGTATTTAAAAGGCCTTTGCAACACATACTTAGGAAGTATTAGGGCAAAAGTGAATGGCTTTGCATTTTTAGTTAAAAGCCATTTAATGTTTTATCTCATTGAAGCCTGTCCATCCTTCCTTCCTGCATGCCTGCCTACCTGCCTCCCTCTTTCCCTTCCTTTTCCCCCCTCCCTTCCTTCTTCTCTCTCTCTTTCTTTCTCCCTTCCTTCCTTCCTTCCTCCCTTCCTCCCTTCCTTCCTTCCTTCCTTCCTCCCTTCCTTCCTTCTTCCCTCCCTCCCTCCCTTCCTCTCTTCCTTCCTTCCTTCCTCCCTCCCTCCCTCTCTTTTTCTTTCCTTCTTTCTTTCCTTCTTTCTTTCTTTCTTTCTTTCTTTCTTTCCTTTTTTTTTTTTTCTTTCCTTCTTTCTTTCTTCTTTCTTTTCTTTTTTTATCTTTCTCTCTCTCATTTTTCTTTCATTTTAGACAGCTAAAAAAACACTTCAAGTTATTGTTTAATGAGGAATAGGAGTTGAGGGTTTACTCTCTCTTTGTGGGAATGATGTGCCTTGTGCTTCTTTGAATATGTTATATTTTCTTTCATGTCTTTACTTTAAGCACGAGATACATTCCCAAGACCATTCACACAATTGCAGCCAGAGAGATGAACTAACGAGGATAATTTGTGGCTGGGAGATTTCTGTCCTGGCAAAATGTTTATGGGTAGATGACAAATTCCTGTCTATGCCACAGAGTTGTGTCACGTCTAGAGGAAATGCCTGGTTATGAATTAGTTGAAAAAAAAATCCCTAAATTTGAGAAATTAAGAGGCAAAATGAAAAATTTAATGGAAGATTCTGGTAGAAGTCGTTCCTTTGGGCTGTGTGGCATATTCTCTTTGTGCTAAAGACAGCAAAAACTGTGACAGAATTCTTTCTTGGTCTGGGAGATGAAGCCTTTCCAAATAGTTTCATCCTCATTCATTGGGCATATTCAAAATAAGGTGTGTCTCATGTTTTTCCAGGAGTAAAAATGTCATCCACACAATGGAGTTTTCTCACTGATGATAGTGATAGTAGAAAGAGGTAAAATGTATTTGTCATTGCCAGCTACTGGTCTGAGTGCTTTTATACATTGCCCACTGAACTCAAGCAGGCACAGTTGTTAAGCCCATTTGACAGGTGAGCAGTCAGAGGTTAAGTCACTTGTTCTAGGTGACTAGGAGATTCTGGTATTTGGGTCATATGACTCTGGGGTCCATGAACCAAACCATTATACCATATTGCAGGCTCATGTGTTTTAAAATTTATCTTCCTCTGCAACACAACATGAGATAGGAAGCATCAAGTCATAGACTGGACTTAAAAATAAATTATCTCATTGCCCAATTCATTGGCTTTTATCAGATGATAAAACACTTAATCCATCCTCCTTTTCAGCCAGACACATACATAATAATAAGAATAAATTCTCTCCTCTTTGGCTAGATATATCGAATTTTAAAGTCTTTTAAAAATACCATTATGCTTAATCTTTGAACAGTGGATGAGACCAATGTGAATCTTTTCTTAGTTTAATGTCCCTTCAACGTTCTCTTCTCTCTGTTGAGAGATGGAATAGTGTTTCTAAACCTCCCATTTAGCCAGAAAGTACAATTATCTTTCTACTAATTATCCCCTTAACTTGGCTGGGAATGGTGTTTCATGCCTGTAATGCTAGCACTTTGGGAGGTTAAGATGGGCAGATCACAGAGGCCAGGAGTTTGAGACCAGCCTAGTGAATATGGTGAAACTTGTTTCTACTAAAAATTACAAAAAATTAGCCAGGTGTGGTGGCATGCACCTGTAGTCCCAACTGCTTGGGAGGTTGAGGCATGAGAGTCACTTGAACCAGGAGATGGAGGTTGCAGTGAGCCGAGATCACACTAGTGCACTCCAGCTTGGGTGACAGAGTGAGACTCATTCAAAAATAAAAACAAACAAAAAAAACCTCCTCAATCTGCTTTATCTTGTATGAGTGCTAGTAAGAGAGAAATTGAAATGACAATGTAAAGTTTGGTTTGATCTTTTTGCCAATAAATTTGTCCAGATGAGAAGAAGAAAAGTTAAACAAATAATAAAAATAGCTATGAGTGTTTAGTGCTATCAAATCAAGTGTTTATAAACTTAAAAAAAATTTAACACATTATTTATTGTCCTATTCAGATTTTCTTTTTGGTTGCTTAAGTGATAGAGAGACTGAGAACTAGCCTCTAACTTTAGTTTTCTTCTTTGTCA